GCCGCGTGTACCTTACACTCAAGCATTAGACTTACATATTAATACTAGGTCTTTAACTGATAGCTTAAGCTTTTGAGTCAAGTGGTTCCTTAAAGTAAGGAGGCATGTTAAAGTTGAGCCCTTTCCTATTCAATGTAATTAAGTTTTTAAGTCAAGCAATTACTTAACGTGAAAACAAAACATACCAAGTCAGAAAGCGTAGGATTCTTTATTATATTTTCAAGCCACTCTCCATGAGCTGTACCAATAAGCATGACACCTCTCTCGGCGATGGATCGACAAGCAAGAGCTTCAGCTTCAGTTCCAATTTCATCAACAATGATCACCTCAGGCATGTGATTCTCGACTGCTTCAATCATGACTTTATGTTGCAAGGACGGTTCCGGGACCTGCATTCTTCGTGCATTTCCTATTGCTGCATGTGGAATATCCCCATCGCCTCCAATTTCATTGCTTGTATCAACAATCACCTATACCAGTTTTATTTTGCACAAACATATGTCAAAAACAGCTAAAGACACTAAAACTAAAAAAATAAAAAAGCATCAGAAGTGAGACAGGGATGACAGGGTCAAGAAAAGCCCTACTAACCACTCTTTTCTGAAATTCGTCTGACAGGACACGGGCAATTTCTCGCATAACAGTAGTCTTGCCAACCCCAGGCCTGTCAGAAATAGAGGAAAAGGACAAGGAAAAGGTTGAAGTTCATAATGGATATTGTCTATTGAAATTAAAATTGAAAATTTTCTGTAGTCTACTAGATCAAAGGAAGAAGCAACTCTCACAGCATCGAAAACTCTTATGTTCTGACATTTTATCGGACCACAATTCCTTATATAGGCTTTTAACCAATAACATTCTAATCATAAGGATGAAGGATGGAGTAGTTTTGAATTCATTTCAGACAGAAACAGACTTCTTCCAGAGCCATGTAAGACATAAATGAATGACTACAGGTCTAAATGATTTTCTGCTTCACATTAAAGATGAGCTGTGAAGCATCTTTTGTTATATATACTGCAACATTAAATAGTACAAATAGTTAACTGACCTTCCAACGAACAAGATGCTCTTGCCATAATGAAGCAAATCATAAACCATGTCAATGTGACCACTGACTGCCCTGCCAACTCGGCAAGTTAAGCCAACTATTGCCCCTTTCCTACTCCTAATTGCAGATATTCTATGCAAGGTACCCTCAATGCCAGCTCTGTTGTCTCCGCCGAAATTCCCAACAGCATTTTGAGCATACTCCAATTCTTCTGTTGATACCTAGCTAATAAGCATCATATTTAATGGAGGCTAACTGAAGAAATCTCTGTTCTTCAAAAAATTTATCTCCTTTCTTGGTATTAAAACTTTAGAATGTCAAATAGGAAGTTTTCAATCAAGAACATTTACAATAATCAATCATGAGTTCATCTGAACAAAGATGCAAATGGGAAACATTGAGTGAGCAAAAACCATTTTATGCATTTCACTAACACATGCAAATAAAAAGCTCAAAGACGCAAAATCATGAATTTACCTCAGTACTCCTTAAGTACTTCCCACCTAATTCACCTTGATAGCGGGCTTCTGGCAAGCGTCCCAAGTCCAGTATAACCTATATCAAACATAGCAGCACTAACCATCATCTTATGAAGCAACAATGTTGGGTAAACTTTTAAAAGGCACAAAGCTCTCAGATATCTAAGAAACAATAAATACAGCCAATACACAGAACAGCAACTATTCCTCTCATAAGCAGCAATTGCATTTCAAAGTCTCTTATTCATTTCACCATGAGGAAAGATGAATTCATAAATCAACCCACATCCTTCTAAGACTGACCAATGCACAAAAGGGGTAATATGACTAAATTCAAAGTTCCTCCTCTTAAAAACATTGGCATCCTAAATGGCCAAATAGGGGTCATTCATCAACACTAATTCACAGCGAATGGATGCGTTATAGCATCCTCAATCACAACAGCATGTTTATCCTAAAGCAACAAAATCAAATCCAAAGTTTAGAGATTTGTTACCTCTAGAAGTTGTCCTCTCTTGGAATCATTATAAAGTCTATCTCGCAGATCACATGGAAGAATCTGTCAAAACGACAAAACATTCATATTAACAGAACTCATTAACCAAACAAATCAACTCCAAATCACAATCCAAATATCACAAAATAACAATAAAAGAAATCTATTGACATTAAATTGACTAAAATAGAAAACTATTTTCCAGAATTGATGAGTGAGTGCCTCATTTTCTCCCATATTATCAAGCAACAGAATTTCATTTTCATCACAAAATAAACATTAATGAAACAAAAATTGTTAAAATAACTAAAATAACAAAACAAAAAGAAAACATGTAAGTATAAGGCAACCCCACAAGACTAAAATGCAATGCAGAAACTGAAACCAAGTCCAAAAGACATGAAGTACTAATTTAAACAAACACAAAGAATTCATTAATCAAACTAATTAACTCTAAATGACAATCCAAACATCAGAAAATGAAATAAAATTGAGTAAACTTGCAATTTTCTTTTCAGAAATAATGAAAAAGTGCACTCATTTTATCCCATATTAACAAGCTACAGAATTTCATTTTCATCACAAAATTAACAACGTTGTAAACAGAAATCCCTTAAATAACTATAACTAAAAGAAAACCCATAAGAGTAAAATGCAATGCAGAAGCTGAAACCAAGTTCAAGCTACTAAAATGAGAAATAACGCAAAAAGAGTTGAGGAATGGGATTGAGAGCAAGAGAGATACTTGCAAGAAAGCATGGAGGTCATCTTCAACAACCACATGGGCATTGTAGGATGATGATACATGGAGAGAGAGTGAGGTGAGTTTTTTAAGAGAAAAGCGGTTGGTTTTTGAGGAGAAGAAGGTGTGTGAAGTGGAAGAGGTGGAGTACTTAGTTGAGAAAGTCAAGTGGGAAAGAGTGACGCTTGGAGTTGGAGCTGCTTTCATGTCTCTGCTATTGAAGGTTGAAGATGATGTTACAAGTTACGAAATACAGTTGACACAGGGAGACTGGATAAGGCTTTTGGTATTTGGGCTATAAGCCCATTTAAGAATTTACTGGCCCTAAAACACTTCCAAAGAGCCCATGTTTTCGACAAACAATAAGTGTATTTGTTTTATTATTTTGAATAGTATTTTTGAAAAATTTGAGTTGGGTTATCATCAAAGAATAAGATTTGAATTTAAAAATTTGTTTGGTAAGATTATTTTTAGTTCCCTATATTCGTTAATTTAGTTAAATACCCTCACAATAAAAGTTTTAAAATTAACAAAAACACTCCCATCTACCCATTAAATGTTGGCAATCGATTACTGTCTATAGGGAATATGTGGGTAAGTGAGTGTGTTTTTGTTAATTTATAAATTTTTATTGTTAGGAGTGTTTAGTTAAATTAACAAACCTAAGGGGTTAAAAAAGTTTTAATATTTTGAGTTGAATAAAATATGATGAGATTTTAAGAATAATGAAACAAACATGTATTTTGAATAGGATAAGATAGGAATAATAAAACAAACACACCCCACGTTATCTTTATTGTGAATCACTTAATAATACATATTATAGCAATATTTAAAAATTGTGTTGGTTTAACTAAAATATTACTCCCTCCGTTTCTATATAACTGTCGTTTTAAGCCTCTGCATACTTTTTAATGAATCAATTTTATTTCTCCTCAAATTGACCTTTTCCTCCGATATTGCAGGTGGGAAAATTTTGTTTTTTCCGCTGCACACATGTGTTAAATATTAAAATAATTTAATAGAGAGGAAATGGGGAAAGAGATAGAGAAAGAGAGAGAAAAGATGTGGGCCATAGAAAGAGTGGAGAGAAGAGATGAGGGGCAAAGTGGAGAGAGGAGATGTGGGTCAAAGAAACATTAAAAGAGAAAAGACACATCATTTATTTTGAAAAAAATTAATACTATCGAAACGACAATTATAAAGAAATGGAGGGAGTAATATATTATCTATTGGTATGTAAAATTTGTACATAATTACGATAGCAATTATAACACAAACTAATACAATTTATATTATAAAATTCAAAGATAGGTCTACTATTTTATTAGAATCGATGACATTACCGAACATGGTTTTGATGATATTGTTAGACCATTAATTAAGACATAACTCCTATTAAAATGAAGAAATTACTAACTAATGTTATTTTAGTTAGATGTAACAATATTTAAGTTACCTCTTCCCTTATGGTCGGATAACAAACATTTTAACCATTAGGGTTAATAATACCTAAGGGTCTTGTGTTTGAATCACGGGAGAAGCACTTATTACATTTGTGTAATTATCTTGATCCATTAAGATTGGGCTTATAAGGTATTACGTGGCTTTGAAGATTAGGTGGAACACTTATCACATTTATATAATTATCTTGATCCATTGGGGTTGGATTTGTAAGATGTTCCGTGATCATGAGGATTTGATGAGTTTAGTTGACAATTATGTCTAGATACCTCCGTTATTAAAAAAAAAAAAACAATATTTAAGTTATAATAAAAGATTTTTTTAAGTACAAAGATATATATATTTATCTTAGGCACTACTTTAAACCAAACATGTTGATATGATCAAATATTTGAACATAAAACCTCTTGTAAAATATTTTTTTCTTTTTATTTTTCCCATAAGAAATTCCCTACCATCAATTTTTGATCAAATTATTAAAGTCGTGTTCACTATTGTTTGATCTTGGAAATATATTTGTTCACTTAAACCATTTATGTTTCATAAAACAAAATACAGTGAATCAAATTATGTTATAAAATAATTAAAAATACATAAATGTGATATTTTATATGTTTAAGTTTTTATATCTTTAATTATTTTCAATATATAAAAAAATATTTTTTAATTATCTTTAAATTTTTTAAATATAAAAAAATCAAATATGTTAAAAAAAATTTAAAAACCCGTAAGATAGGTCAAGATTCAAATTGCGGATAGTGGTAAGAGTGATAACCGGAGGCAAGACAAGAGGGGACTTTTGAATTATAATACAAAAAGCTCCCAACAAATAGAATTCATATCAAAATCAAATTCGTCTCTTTGCTTGTTAACTTGAAGAGGACGAAAGAGATGAACAGTAATGGTAGAAGAGATGATGAAGAAAAGGGTTTGATCTGGAAGCTTCCTCAAATTAAGCTCAAGGACCTCGGCAAAGTCGGTCCCGCTTTCGGCGCCGGCATTGGCTGCGGCGTCGGTGTCGGCGTTGGTCTCGTAGGAGGTAGGCAGACGAACAAAATAAACAAAACCTGTGATTTTAGAGAATTCTCTTGACGGGTTGTGGTGCTTTTGTTTAAATATTTTGATATTATTGTTTGATTAATTCGACTCATTTTATCACTTAATGTCTTGTTTAAAGAGAAACCCTTAAGCTTTGTTTGGTATTATAATTAACGCTATTTTTTTAGGGAATTCTCTAGTGGGTTGTGTTCATTAATTTTTATTTTTTTGATATACCTGTTTCGTTAATTCATTCCACTTTACCACTTTGTGGCTTCTTTGAAGCAAAACCCTTGCTTGGTTCCTTTCATTTCGTGAGCTTTGTTGGTTTTTTTTTTATTGAAGTTGTTATCTTTAGAGAATTCTCTTGATGGGTTGTCTTCATTATGTTGAATTTTTTGATATTCTTGTTTGTTTAATTCCCTACATTTCATCACTTTATGTCTTGTCCAAAGAAAAACGCTTGTTTGGTTCCTTTCATTTCGTGAGCTTTGTTTGGTTTTAGTATTAAAGTTTTATATTTGGAAAATTTTCATGATGGGCTGTGTTCATTTTGTTGAAAGTTTTTGATTTTGTTGTTTGATTAATTCACTGCACTTGACTACTTCATGTCTTGTTTGAAGCAAAAAACTTGCTAGTTTCATTCATTTTGTAAGCTTTGTTTGTTATTATCATTAAGTTATTTTGAGAGAAATGCCTTAATGGTTTTTCTTCATTCCGTTGAAATTTTTTGATATTATAGTTTGATTAATTTTTTCCATGTGACCACTGCATGTCTTGTTTTGACCAAAACCCTTGCTGGATTTGTTTCATTTGTGTGCTTTGGTTAGTATTGTCATTAAAGTTTCTTATTAGACAATTCCTTTGATGGGTATTGGGTTGTGTTTATGTTTTTGAAAGTTTTTGATATTTGTTGTCTTATTAATCTTGTATGTACTCTAAAGAACATGGTAAAGGAAATTATATGCGCAATATGATCTACACCTTACAAAGTCACTATTGTTTTGGTAACTCGGAATGTTTGCTGAATGCCACATTTATAAAATTAAATGTAAAACTTCTAATGAAATTGAATTTGTTACATGATATACTTTTCAGTATTTCCTATTTCTCTTTTCTATATATTTTATATTTAAAATTTTCTGTTTTTACTTCTAATTTGGTGTTTAGTAAATTGTTATTGTAGTGTGTTTATGTGTGTTCAACTCCTGGGGTTTAAATTGCAAATGTAAATTGGGAAGGGGAAGATTTAATCTTTTGAGGCATATTTCATTAATTCTTGAACCTTGAGCAAAAATGGTATTGGACTCTTTTGATCTCTTTTCCCCTAAGCATTTCTTTAGTGTTTTTTTCTTTGAATCGAATTGGTTCTTTGGAAATCTTGATTGGTTGCCATGTTGATCAGTAGAGCAAGGATGCTTTTCCTTTTACTTTGTTGACTAGTGTGGGTCTAACACTTTTTCAAGTTTCAATGTAATTATTAAATGTAGCTTTACTTTTTGATTGTGTGGCTTATGGTGCTAATGTAATTTTCTACCCTGATGTTTTTTTGTGACTATCTATTAGGCTTTAAAATTTTAAGTGTTTTCTTTCAGGTATAGGCATTGGTCCTGGATTTCCTGGTCTACAGTTTGGGGCTGGGTTCGGTGCAGGATGTGGCGTTGGTATTGGATTTGGCTATGGTCTCGGTAAGGGTGTTGCTCATGATGAGTATAGGAGATACTCTAATGTTGGGACTTCGTAAGTATACTGTGCTTTTTTACTATTTATATCTGGCTGACATGATATTCTCAAATCATGCTTTTTTTTTTCCATATGTACTTCTGTTTGGTAAATATTCTCTAAATTGTTCCTAAATGTATCATTTTACTGTTTCTGTATTTTTATCATGTAATAGTTGACATTTAATTCTCAATAATTCCTACAATTCGTAAGTGGTCTATATATTTGCAATTTATGCAAGAGTGGCATGTAGAAGTTAGATACATCTCAAGGTTGCTTGTCATCAACATGTCAAAAATATCAGTGTTGGGTTCAAAAACTACATTAATCTGAAACATGATTCATTCTTGGTCACTGGTATTCAAACTGTGTATAATTTTTGTGACAGGGCAAAGAATCAAAATGGTGCCGTGATGTTTTGTTATTAAGTTCTTTTAACGAGCTGAAACTTGAGATACATTATTTATCTGATACTTTGCATCTAGCAGTAATTTTTATAGTTTGGTTAATCCATTTTCAAAAAGATTTTTTTGTTTCCTTGCTGTCAGGGATGTGCTCGGTGCTCTAGTTGATGAACTTGCCTCTAATACCAAGAAAATAGTCAAAGTGACTTCAAGAGAAATTGAGAAGTGGAGAAGATAGATCAAACTTTGACAATCTCTTCGTCTTCAATTTGCGTTAAGTAGGAACCTTTTAGTTACAGTATTTTAGCTATACATATGCGTGCATTATAGAAAGTGGTTATTTGGCGATGCAGATTGTGCAAGTATCTATCATATAAGGTGATTCATCTTTTCTTATTTTTAGTTATATAATGGTATATGTGATAACCAGATATTTGTTTTAAGTTAAACGCTTCCCATAATCATAGTTGACATCTTGTTGCACTCGACATTCGACAAGTTGTCGTCAATCAATGTCTTCATAAAGGTCTACGGTCTCTCCTTCTCAGTATTCGCTACTATATATTAGTTTTTGCAGATCCTTTGAACTGTGAGGTGGGTTTGATACTAGGTTTTCGTATTCATTACGAATACCAGTTGTGTTGTAATATCATCTTACTAATCATATAGTTACATTCTTGAAATTTCATAGTTGACATCTTGTTGCACTCGACATTCGACAAGTTGTCGTCAATCAATGTCTTTATAAAGGTATACAGTCTCTCCTTCTCAGTATTCGCTACTATATATTAGTTTTTGCAGATCCTTTGAACCGTGAGGTGGGTTTGATACTAGGTTTTCGTATTCATTACGAATACCAGTTGTGTTGTAATATCATCTTACTAATCATATAGTTACATTCTTGAAATTTCATAGTTGACATCTTGTTGCACTCGACATTCGACAAGTTGTCGTCAATCAATGTCTTTATAAAGGTATACAGTCTCTCCTTCTCAGTATTCGCTACTATATATTAGTTTTTGCAGATCCTTTGAACCGTGAGGTGGGTTTGATACTAGGTTTTCGTATTCATTACGAATACCAGTTGTGTTGTAATATCATCTTACTAATCATATAGTTACATTCTTGAAATTTCATAGTTGACATCTTGTTGCACTCGACATTCGACAAGTTGTCGTCAATCAATGTCTTTATAAAGGTATACAGTCTCTCCTTCTCAGTATTCGCTACTATATATTAGTTTTTGCAGATCCTTTGAACCGTGAGGTGGGTTTGATACTAGGTTTTCGTATTCGTTATGATTACCATTTGTGTTGTAATATTGTCATACTAATCATATAGCTTGAAATTTCATGGCTCATCCAGGTTACTGAGGGGCTTTAAGAAACATTGGGATATTGAGATAGTTCACTTTTCTTGATCTGTGATTTCCTTGCGTGCTGTGTGAAAATTTGTTTTCCTGATAATGGAGGGTTACTTGAAAACTGTCCAAATATTGATTTAGGGTTTAAACCAATCACCTCCCCGCTGGTTTTCAAAATTGACAAGTTAGTCCCTTGGTTATGCAAATTATCCAACCACCTCCTTTGTTAATTTTAGCCGATAAATATAACTGTTGACCAATTTTGACGCTAAATGATAATATTTCCTTAAAAAATTCAAAAGAGAACCTTAAAATTTTCGAAAAATTTCTTAAAAATACCAGAATATCTTAAAATAATGTTAAATTCAGAATAAAAACATAAAAATTTTATTTGGAAAGATTAATAATAAAAAAAAACCTACCAAGTTAACAAAATTTCTTAAAATTTATATATATATTTCCTGGGTTTCTTAATTGTTTTAAAAAAATTTATGTTTTAGGTAATTTTATTGAATTTTCTATGTTGAGTTAAATTAAAATAAATAAATAAATATTTTTCTTAATTTTGTAGAAACTTATTTTTAGAGAAATGGAGCGAGTTGAGTGCACTGTTTTAAAACTTGGATCGGGACTCGGCACTTGGTAGTCTCTCCGGTTTAGGTTTAGGGGGGTTTCTGATATTTTTCAAAGTTGTATGGACTACTTTAGAATTTTCTGGGGGTTTCGTAATATTTCAAGATTTTTGGGACTAATGAATTTTTGGGGCATTTTTGCAAAAAATTAAAATTTCAGAGCCTACTAACAATTTTTTAGGGGCATTTTGGTAATATATTAAAATTAAAGAGATTAATTTGTAAGTTTTTAAAAATATTTTTATTGCTGATATCATTGATCTAAACCGGTTGGACTGGTCGACCTGTGACTTGGTCACCTTGCCGGGTTACACCACGGGTCGGGTTTTAAAATAATGGTTGAGTGATTATGAGAGTTCCTTGATTTACAATTGAGTGTTAATTAGAACACTCTACAAGTCTAATGGATTTGATAAATCACAAATGTATACAAGATCTCTGAATAATACACCAGATGGTTAAAGTTTTTCCATCCTACCACAAGCCTATTGGTTTAAGAGCAATGCTAGTTTTACAAAGATACATACAAAAGGGGCATACAAAGACAATCTCCACCATTGATTTTCATGATTTCTCTCTCTCTCTTTTTCCGTTTTTCTTTGTTTTTTACTTCTTGCTGATGTCACTTTGTAACTCTCTTTGTATGGGTCTTTGTAAGGATAACATTTTTCTTGGTTTAATTAGGAATAATTTTATTTGCTCTACAATTTTACGACGTGATTTGACCACAACACAGAAAGAAAACAAAACACTCAAAATGAGATGAAAATATAACCACAGAAAAAGGATGGTTGAGACTTTGAGAGTGAGAAATATACATGAAAGAAGTGGATAGAAGAGAAGATGTTATCCAATCCACAAATTTTCAAGATCATCCCACATCAGCACCTTCATCTGCCACCTCACCACTCTCACCCTATCAAATTCCAGCTTCAGATTACACATTTTCTTCATCCCACCAATCACAATTCTTCCTCAACAATCCCGTTTGGCATGTCCACATCCATTTGTTCAACCTTATAGTATCTCCCTTCTCCCTCTCTTCATCCTCCACTACTTCTTCCTCTCCAATTCTCTTCCTTCTCCGGAAACACTTTCATATTTAACCGACCAACCATGGCTTCCTTGGCAGCATCAACTTCTCTTGGTGTCAAGGAAATTCTTGGCAACCCTCTCAACTTCTCTGCCTCTGTCAGGTCATCTGCCCCAACTTCCTCCTCCCCTTCAACTTTCAAAACTGTTGCCCTCTTCTCCAAGAAGAAGCCTGCTTCTCCTCCCAAGTCTAAGCCTGCCGCCGTCTCTTCAGTCGACGATGAGCTCGCCAAGTGGTATGGTGAGTATTAATAGACACAGAAATTCTCTCTTTTACCGAGGTTTTCATGCTCTTGCAAAAGTCTGTATTTTCTTCCAAGAGTTCACAATTTTTTTTTTATCTTTTTCTGAATTGTGTTGCTAGTAGTGTGAATGGAAGGTGACAAAATATGATATTTTCGATATGTTAAAGTATTTGCATGGTGGTTTTTCCAGGTCCTGACAGGAGAATTTTCCTGCCTGAAGGGCTCTTGGACCGATCTGATATTCCTGAGTACTTGACTGGAGAGGTTCCTGGAGAGTAAGATTGTCTTTCTTCTTCCATTGAGCTTCAGATTGTTGTGAATTTTAAAACTTTAGAATCTTGAAACATTTCTTCTAATATGAGTTCCACTGCATGCAGTTATGGTTATGATCCTTTTGGTCTCAGCAAGAAGCCTGAAAACTTCAGCAAGTAGGCTAATTAATCACTGTATTTAGTGTTAAATAGTATGCAAGTTTGGCTATTTGAGAGGTATAATGTGGGTTTGATTGCAGATATCAGGCATATGAGTTGATTCATGCCAGATGGGCAATGCTTGGAGCAGCTGGATTCATCATCCCTGAAGCTTTCAACAAATTTGGTGCCAACTGTGGCCCTGAAGCTGTTTGGTTCAAGGTTTGCATTATTAATTGTTTTCAATTCATCGAGTATTATTAGTGAATTGGAAGGTTAAAATTGAGAGATTCTTAGTGAATTTGGTTATGGTGTAAGTACAGACTGGAGCTCTTCTCCTTGATGGAAACACATTGAATTACTTTGGAAAGAACATTCCCATCAATCTTGTTTTGGCTGTCGTTGCTGAAGTTGTTCTTGTTGGTGGTGCTGAATATTACAGAATCATCAATGGTTTGGTATGTCAACATCATTTTTCAAATTTTCAATTCCAATTCATCACTATTGACATTATAGGCTTAGAAATTTGTCAGGGTTAGGTTATTCTGCTCCTAAATGCACTTGTTAAGAGAAATCTTCGATATTGGAAGTATATACCAAAAACATATTTTGATAGTAATTGTTTAACGCTGATCTCTAGTAGACTTCTCAGGAGAATTCGAATCCAGATGATGTTTCGATCTCTCAATATGTGTCCTTAGAAATTATACATGTTAAGAGAAATCTTCAATATCAAAAGTGTATCTGTCACACTGAAATACAAAAACATATTTTTATCATTCTGTAAACGTTCGATAGCAATAGTTTCATGTTTAACAATTTCTAATCTCTAGTGGACCTCTCAGTAGCAGTTGAGCCTAGAGGAAGTTTTGATCTCTGAAGTTGTGTTGTGTGGTGTTTATATGGCAGGATTTGGAGGACCAGCTTCACCCAGGAGGTCCATTTGACCCACTGGGGCTAGCCAAGGACCCTGACCAGGCTGCAATTCTAAAGGTGAAGGAGATCAAGAATGGAAGACTTGCAATGTTTGCCATGCTTGGATTCTTCCTCCAAGCTTATGTGACAGGTGAAGGTCCAGTTGAGAACCTTGCAAAGCATCTCAGTGATCCTTTTGGCAACAACTTGCTTACTGTCATCTCTGGAGCTGCCGAGAGAGCTCCTACTCTGTGATTTCAGTTACTCTATTTTTACTCAAATCTAAATGCACTGTACATTTCTTGATCAAGACATTTTCAAGGTGTTGAACCTAAATTAATCCTGCCAATTGAATCCCCATATGTGTTTCAATTATAGAGCTTCACCATTGTTCCCCTTTAATTTTAGCATCATTGATGAATTTAACTGGATTCTAAATAGAGGAAACAACACACTTTGGGTTAACTCATTATATATTGTTGCCGATTCCTTCATAAGTTTAAGATAACTCATTTCTTATACAGAGAACCTCATTAGACAACCACCAGATTAGAAGGGTTTGGTTAAGCTCCAAAGACCCAAAATGTATAAGATTGGTTGGAATCCAACCATCATGATCCCCTTTGCTCTAACTCCACTCCATTAATTAATACTCAAGTTAATTCAAGAAATGCACACCAACATTAAACATGTTGAATATGTTACAAATTTCAAATATTTTTAATTCTAATTGTTGGCTGTTGCATTAAAATCACTATCATATTTTCCATATATGTCACTATATATTATATGCTAGCCACGCAACTTCATTAATATAATTTCATTCTTTACTGAGCAAGTAAGAGCCCCACCGGTTTTTAATTATATTGGCATATGTATAAATATAATTGTGACATTCTATATTA